AAATATAGCTTTATATGTGGCGAAAAAAGAGATGTGGAGAAAGAAAAGCATATACAGATAAACAAAAATCGTAATTTGACATTGTTATTGACCGATTGGACCACAGGTTGATTTAAGTGCAAAGATACAAAAATGCATGATGTTTATAATGAATGCTCATGGTTCTAACACATAAAACTCTTCTCTGTTTCATGTTTTATATAAAAAGGGAGGTGGAACAAATTAGGCTATAGGGCAGACTCAGGCCTAATTTTTTACCCTTTTCTGCACCAATTAGTGAGCATTTTGTGAAATGTAACTTTCAGGTATTTAAAGTTTCACACAAACATCTAAATGCTCTAAAATCGCCATCAGTGTACTTCTTGGGATGAAAGGCAGTCTAGTACAGCAGAAAGAACTCAGGCTTTAGAGGGAGATAGTTGGATTTGAATCTCACTGCCATTATTTATGACCCAGGAGAACTTTTTTGTGCCTCAGTTTCTTCGCCTGGGAAAAAGAGTTGTTGAAATTTTGTTAAAGGTAACAATCTACGCATAATTATAAATTACTTAAAGCTTTTATAAATTGTGCCATGTGCAAGATGAAGAAGGACCTGGAAGAGGAGAAACACAGTTTCTTTATATTTGTATGACTTATTCATTCTCTTCAGAAATGATGCGGTCTTAGTGTTTTTAAAGCACTTTGGCATTACTGCCTGGATAATGAGATGCCGCTTTTCTACAAATTGGTACTTATTGATTTATTTTGAGAACCTCTTTAGGTTTAGTCCACAAGCTAAAGTGTGGCAAATTTGTAATTCCATGTGCCAAAAAAAAAAAAGGGAGCTCGGAGGAGTCACGAGTGTTTTACCCACCACCCTTCTGCTCTGTAGCATATACTGGATATGAGGCACCAAAAAGGGCAGAGGAACCCATAAGTTCCTTTTTCCTTGGCACAGGAGAGTGAGACGCCAAGACTGGGAGAATAGAATGTGCCCGGCCTTCCATAGCACAAAACAAGTTAGCCGGGAATCCAGGTGGAGAGAGACAGCAAAAGCAGATGCAGTTTACCCACCACCCTTATGCTCTGTAGCATATACTGGATATGAGACACCGAAAAGGGCAGAGGAACCCATAAGTTCCTTTTTCCTTGGCACAGGAGAGTGAGACGCCAAGACTGGGAGAATAGAATGTGCCCGGCCTTCCATAGCACAAAACAAGTTAGCCGGGAATCCAGGTGGAGAGAGACAGCAAAAGCAGATGCAGGCTATGGCACAGGCCTGACCTTAAGGGAGTGGAAGCCATCTGGAATTAAGGATCAGATGGTCTCTCAATCAACTTAGAGTATCCTAATGATTCTGCAGAGTAGGTTGAAGCGAAGTCTAAATCTAGGTTTGGGTTTTAGTACCCTTCCACGATCGTCAGTCCCGAAAGGGTTCTACCTAGGGCCACGGGCCACCTTTATACATGCTTTCTACCTTGCTCCCTCTCTGAGCATGACCCAGGCGTTCAGACAAACCTGGGAAGCCCTGGAGTTGGAAGGTGGGCAAAGGTCATCTTCAGGGGGGAACCTATGACCTGGGTCAATCCCACTTCTCAGAGCTCACCAGTACTCAGCAGGTACTGGCCCAGAATACCTCTGTGTCCCAGGGTGGCTTAGAGCTCAATCTGTCACCACGGTCCACTCTGTCCTGGTGTTCCCGTGAGACGTCTGTAGGACTGTGGTTTCTGAGCTCCGGTTTGTTCATTCTTCCCAGGACTTTGCTTTTCCATGGGGAGAAAAAAAAATATGACATAAGAGCCCCAAGAATCGGTTATAGTCACAAATCATTATGATGGATGTGAGAGGGAAGTTGAGATGTGTGAACCATGTCCGAAGGACCTGATTACAGAAGTGATGGTAGAACCCAAAACAGTTTGCAGGCTTCCAGACTGAGAGTGAGTGTCCGGGTAGGAACCAGGAGACAGGCCTGAGTGATGAAAGGAAAAGTCCTGGGAGGCCCTGGACACACTGTGAGAAGGCCTGAAACACAGATGTCAGCTTAAAGCAGGACACGTTTGATAAAGCATGGTTACATGGGATAAAAAGTAAAAGATTCCTTAAGAGGATGTTCCCTTCGGATTTCAAGTTGGTTGAAGAGGAGGGGAGGGAAAAGCTTTCGTATCTGAAGATCATCAAAGAAAATTAGAATTAAAGAGATAAGACACTATAATTAAAAAGATAGGACACTGTGAATGAAATGCATATGGGAAAACCTTTTCATGTTCTCATATCCTAGGGAATGAGAAAGAGTCCACAATGCAGAAAAACATCTTGAATATATTTGTTATATTTAGCATGCGTCATGTGGCAGGTATTAAACTGTGGTAATCTAGTTAGTTTTGAGAAGGGTTACAGTAGAGAATCACAGGGGAAATCATTTGTGCTGGACCTTAGCTGATGATGGACCATGGAAAACATGTATATATGTATGTAGGTATGTATGTATAGCATTTATTTCTGGAACATGGTAGGTGCCCATTTCCTGAGCTCCCTCTCTGTACCAGACACTAGCCCAGGCTTGTGATCTGCATCTTCTGTAATCTCATAACAGCTTGCCAGATTGTTGTGCTTTTAGCTATGAGGAAACATACTCAGGGAGAGTAAGGAATTTGCCCAGACCACTCACCTACTAAGCAGCAGAATAGGATTCAAATCCAGGTCCATTCAAAATCCCCTGCCCTTGAACCCACGTGAATAGAATTGATGTGGGAAATCCCTCCCATGTTACGGACGCACTGCTCAAGGTAGAGCAGAATTGAGTTCAGGATGTCATTTGGCCCCTTCGGTTAGCATCCCGGGGTCTTTCTGTGAAGCTGATAAGCTTTCTTACTTGGCTACATCTTTTCCCCGCCTCCACTTTGACCACGCTCCAATTCTAATTTTAGAGATATAGTTTCTGAAGTAAGGATATTGAGGGGCAGTGTTTGTGGTCCTTCTTTCCTACGTGTGTGCTCTATAAAGCCAACTCCGTTTACAGCTCCCAGCTCAGGGTAGCATCTTTGGTTATAGGAGGTGAGCCCAGAAGGGTGGCACACCGTGAACTGATGGCTTAATCTAGGAACATAAAATTAATATCTATGGCTCCTGTTATGATATGCTGACTTTCCCTGCCCCTTTTTTCTTTTTCTTTTTCTTTCTTTCTTTCTTTTTTTTTTTTAGTGTCCCCTCTTCCTGCTGCTCCAATGTTTGAAAAGTTGATGCTTGCATAAATGACATGAGATTTTCCCATGGGCACCTCTGTAGAGTTGTACATTTAAAATTTATGTCTTCCAGGGATGAAAAATATACATGCCACATGTATCCAGCAAGGGATAAAGGACCCTGAGGGAAATGAAAGTTCATGCTACCGTTAAAAGAAAAAGATCTCATATCTCTATTTTTATGATCAAGACTCTCCTGAATAATGGATGGATCTACTCAGGAAAATCCTATTTCTAGCAGTAAAACTGAGTCTGATTAAGACTACATATTATTGAAAAGGGCACCATCATATACTTATGGTTGCAGTTTAAAATAGTGCAGCCCATTTGGACAGTAGTTTGGAATAGAATTTTAAAAGGTCTTGCTAACTCATGGCTTAGTCATACTATCTCTGGGAATTTATCCCAAGGAAAGAATTCTAAATAGAGGCTTTTTAACAATGATTTTTCAGAGCAGAATACTTAACCATAGTGATAAAAAATTGTAAACTTAAATGTCAAAAAAGGGTGAATGTTGGTAATTTTTTTAAATAGTAGATTAAAAAAGTATATCACATGAAAAATGCTGTATTACTTTAAAAACTGGATAAAATTAAATCTATTATGATTGTAGTTATGGGAATAAAACCTATGTATTTAAAATTTTTTCAGAAAAAATGGAAATACCATTATGCTATTAAAGACTTCGTTTCAGTGGTAGGACTACAGGCAACTTTTTTTAAGCTCATATTTCCATATAAGAAGTAGCACCTCTTATGTCATTAAAAATCGTAATGGATAGCAAGAATTGGATTTTGAATATTAAAGACCATTTCATGTCTACCGTGCCCATTTCCGGAACTTGGTCCTCTTTTCCGGTCTGCATATTGTGAATGGATCTGGGTCACTTCATGGCTCTTAGCTCAGTCTTCAACCCAGATAGCAGTCGGGTAGAATGGATGACCTGGAAAATTTAGAAATGAAGATGGGTTCTCTATTCCAATTCTTCCTTGTCCTCCCTGACAAGTCCAGGTGAAGAGTTGGTTAAATAGATATAAACTGCTCAGAAGAAATTCACTTGCCATAATGTGAAAGAAACACAATGCCAGTTAGAACAACATCTCTTTTTGCTGTTCTTGAGCCTAGCTATTTTTTTCAGTTTGTGGATAAACAAGTATTACATAGCTAGAAGACAAACAGTTGTCTGTAATTTAGCAAAGCGCCAAATAATGAAAGATAGCTAACTTTATCATCTTTAGTGGCTGAGGGAACTCAAGGAGAAAATAATAGAATAAAAGGTCATAACTTTCATAATTCCTGGCAGCCAGAAATAAGATATATTCTGTGATTCTTTTTTCATCCAAAACATTGTACCTTTTGGAATTATGTCATTAATTATTAATTAAAGTAGATGTTTGGGGTAGGGGTGGCCTTTACTAAGTCTTTTCATTAAAACCCGAGAATTGGTCATTTTATCCCTGTGTGTGTTTACTGATTTCCAGTTGCTACAAACTGTCATGTTGTAAACACATTTTTCAGTAGTTCATCGTCACCTTCCTTACTTGTAGTGCTTTCAAAGAGAACAATGGCCTTTGTCTAGATGAGGAAATGGGAGATACGTAGCTGAGAGCCTAGTGTTTTGAATACTAATAAGCTGTTTTGTGATCAAGAACCAAGGTGGAAAAAAACAACAAGGATTACAACAGTTTTTCCACGTGTGTTTGTATTTGAAGAGAAAAGGGAGAGGACACTTGTTTCATTTCTTATGTTTTTTTTCCTCCCTTCCTTTTCCATCTTTAGACAAAGCCCGTTGCATTTGCAGTTCGGACGAATGTCAGCTACAGTGCAGCCCATGAAGATGATGTCCCAGTGCCAGGCATGGCCATCTCATTTGAAGCAAAAGATTTTCTGCATGTTAAGGAAGTAAGAAAATAATCTGAATTCCCGTCCTCGTGATTTTTAACCTCGAAATATCGTTTCTTATTCCTTATTGCTGTGAAATAGCATTGCATAGAGCCGTAGTTGTGTAACATACACACGAAATCGGTGCCTCTCAACCTTTTCTAATATAAATATAACCCTTTTAAAGAAGAAAGAAGTCGCAGGCCTCTTGCAATAATTTCAAGGCTCCCCTGGGCTCTGTGACCCAGAAATTGGAAACTACTGGAGGAAATGATCCTTTTTTATGTTTAACCTGTGCTTTTTATCTTAATTTTTAACCCTGACTTTGTATGGTTCTCCCCTCATGTTTCGAGTTTAACCATTTGGGGAGGGCTTAATAATAATATCTAGAATTCATGGTCTCTCCTCTCTGCTGACAGTGTCTCAACTCAGGCCACTGGTGGCTTTATCCTCCTTCGATGACAGATTTCTGCACTGGAAGGGAAAATAGGAGGAATTGGAGCCAAGAAAGCAAGAAACAGATAGCAAGAAAGTCCTTTTTCCTCCATGCCACAAGTCACCACCTTTCAGTTAACGATGACTCAAGTCTGTTAACTGGAAAAAATCACCCTTAATTAAGGTTTATTGTGAGTCAACATTTATCCAATGCCTGCTGTGCAGCACACTGTATTAAAAGGCCAGAAATCCTCCCTACATGACGTTTTCTCCGTGTGCGATGATGAGGTTTCTTAGACCTGCAGGAATTTACAGTTGGAACCTAGGGGAGGATGTGTTCTAGGAAGCATATGTAAATTTAAGTGCTTGCTGCACAAAAAGCTGTCAGCCAAGAAGGTGGGGACTGCCAATTAAAAGAGCCTGGAGAATTTAGAGCCTACCATTTCATTAACGTTTAGAAAGAGATGCAAAATACTGGCTAAGGAAGGAAGGGTAGAGGAAGTTTTTAGAAGTGATGGCGGTCCAGAATTTGGCTTGACTGACAGGAAGTCGGGTTAATCCAGGGCGTCCTCCTCATGGCTGATGCTTGGAGAGGAATCTTTCTACCATGAAAGGAGAAGGAAAAAAAAAAAAAAGGCTGGGCAGCCACAGTCAAAGGTAGATAGCAAAAATACCGGGTACAACACATGCATGGGGCTGAGCTGTATGTCAGAGAAGGCTCATAACTTTATCCTTAAGTAAAAAAAAAAAAAAAAAAGAAAATGGATACTCTCCTTTGAAATGTTCAAGAACAAACTTGAAAAATACTATTCGGTTGAGGGAAATCAAACCCAATATAAAGATTTAGGGTACATATTTCGTCTGCGAGAAAGAAATTAGCAACATCAACAGAAGTAAAGAAAGCACCTGTGAGCAGTGCACCAGGTTAGTTATAAACCTGTCTATACAAAGGTGAATTTTGCTCTGACACAAAACAGTTCAGGTAGATTTCAGTATTTATCTCTTACTCGAAAATACTCCTGATGAATCAGGTTGTATAAGGGGAAGACCCCTGTGACACTCTAATTCCTAATGGCCTCCTGTTGGAAATGGCAGTTAATCTTTGAAGGAGGGAAGTTAACCTACTCACAGTGACAGCAACAGCTGCGATGGAATTCAGACTAGTCTTAATTCTTAACCAAATTCTTCGTCGTCACCAAAAATACTTCACTTTTACATGCTCATCCCGTGAACCTAAAGGTTTCTTGAATTGTGGTATATAGTTCATTGTAAATTCCATAGTATTTCTCTCCTCTGAAAGTAGTTAATATGGGGGAAAAGACAATTTGACGGTTCGAACTGCTGTGTACTGACCTTAACAAATTTGGTTTTGCGTTTAGAAATTTAACAATGACTGGTGGATAGGGCGATTGGTTAAAGAAGGCTGTGAAATCGGATTCATTCCAAGCCCAGTGAAACTAGAAAATATGAGGCTACAGCATGAACAGAGAGCCAAGCAAGGGAAATTCTACTCCAGGTATGAAAAAAATGTCGTGTTTGTGTAAAAGTTCAGACTGTACCATCATCCATGTGCCATTGTTTGCTGTGTTCAACATGTCACCACGTTGACTGGTGATGGGGTTTACTGATAGAAACACAAATCCTGCATTTTAAAATCTTCATCCTAGCATCTCATTTTCACCCAATTTGGGAGAGCATCAAATTAATCGATAACATTAATGAAAAATAGCTAAGGTCATAGACTATTAAATTCAGGCATCAGTGCAGAGGAAATTCCGAAGTCTTAATCCTTACTGAAAATATTCTGGCACTGGACAACCTTGGTGACTAATCCCAGTGTCTGTAGCTGCCTGGCATGGCGTGAAGACGTTGTAGAGCTGGCAGTCTTAGATGTTATTGGCAAAGAGCAGCCCTTGTGGCCTGTTAGTTTCATTTTCACTTGAGAAACTCAATTTTCAGTTCTCCCTACTGCTAAGCATTTAAAGGGAAACTCAATATGAAAACGGTTAAAATTGCCTTTGCAGATAGCAATTAAATGATTTATGTAATAGGCTGAGGCTGAATAATCCTTCCTACGATTCTGGTGGTGATTTGCCCCCCACTAAAAGAAATACTAGAAGGGTTACTCCAACATGGAGTGAATTTGAAAGTGAACCCTATGCAGCCAAGTTCAAGAACATGGCCTGCTTCTCCCTATGTGAAAGGCTGTGATATGGCCAAGGCGTTTCTTTAATATAAATAGGTAGGCTTCTATTTTCTTTAGTTTACATTTCATTTATATAATGAAGCAAATCTTTTGTCAACGATAATGTTTTAGTGTTAGCAAGAATTTAGAAGATGTATCTTCTCTAGTGTTTTTTAACTGAGAGGATCTTTTAGTTCAGATGGATCTCCCTTTTAGGGGACCTCTACCCCATATTTGACTTTTATTAATCCCTGGGTTATCGGAGGCTCTCCGATTATGAGATGCATTTAGTCACAAACAAGTAGAGGCATAGAGATAAAGCACATGCATTTAACCTGTAGGATGTTGATGATCTGATACTATTCATTCCGTTCCTAGTGTTCTGTTGGCTTTATTGCCTATTTTGCTATTCTCTATACTGATAATGGTATTTTAATACTAGTTGCTAACATCTCATAATTTGGAGAAATTTTATTTTTCTGGGGCATAGCCATTGCTGTTATCCATTTGGGAATACCGTATATGGTTTATTGAACTTTGACGTTATCTCAGCTGGGGATTGTTTTGTTTTGGTTTTAGTTTGTTAAGGATAATTCAGCATTTTCCAGAGTTTTCCTGTCAAATTACTTGAGAAGAGGCTTCCATGGTCAAATAAGGTCAGGGCAGTACTACGCAGTAAAAAGTTATTTTAGGATTTTTCGGAGCCTTTAAAATGTTAATGTCCACTGTGAATCTGGATAGTGGGATGGGGTATTTTTTCAACACATACTAAAATTACCATATAAAACCTTTTCTTGGTTTATGTCTTAGGAATAGTTTTTTGTAGAACAGCATTATGGAAAATTCGGGATGAGTTTTGCAGAGACAGACTTGTGTATCTTTGTTTGCTTCTTCATATACAAAGTGAGAAAGGACAACTACTTCTAAAGGGTGAAAGAAGTTTTTGCCAAAATGATTATGGAAGCACGGTTTTTTCTGCCTCCCAACTGGGCATCCCTGGTCAGCCCAGCTTTGTAAGAACCTGTGGGAACGGTACATATTAGATCCTTCATGTCACAGATGAGGACAAGGGCTGAGAGAAGTTAGAGAACTTGACCAAGGTCACAGAACTAGAAAGCAGTAGAATCAAGATGAAAATCTAGTCAATCTGACTGTAGCCTGACTTCGTATGACCTACCTGGCTAGACACTGCGAACACATAGCCAGGACTTGACACAATAAGCTCAGAACAAATCATCATCATTGCTATCTGTTATTAGTTACTACATTAGATATATTGTTTGCTGTTGCGTGTTTTCCTTAAAGAATTACACATTATCTGCATTTGGGGAGTGTCACATTTCCTCACTTATTTCAGGGAGCTGGGCCACCTTTTCTATAACCATAGACATTTTCCTTTGATTTTCTTGATTTCATTTTGTCCTGTCTTTTTACCTAAGCTTTTGCCTAAATAAGTGAAAATATCTTTACTTACTTTCAGAGGTTTCTTCATTTGTCTCATAACATTTTGAATAGTGTTTTGGGGACATAAGCAGAATTCAGAAGTATTTTAAAAGTCCGACACAGAAATTATAAAAACCAAGGTCGTAAAACTGGGGCACAGCTCAGGAACGTGGCATTTTTACAGAATTAAAAGTTAAGGGCAAATTTGCATTCTGAACATTTTTGACTATTTGCAGTATTTGTCGCAATTTTACACAATTCAAATAGTACTTTGACTTTTATTGAAATTCAGAAAACTGAATTTCAATAAAACTGAACTGAAATTAGACTTAGCACCTTAGAAAATTAAATTCTGGAAGAAAACGTTTTGGTTCTGATAATGGATATTCTTATGTAACTGTCACAAATTATTTCTATAAATAACAGTTTTCATTCATTTTACTTACTGTCTGGTATCCCTGTTATATGTACTGAAGTATCTTTTAAGAACCTTAAAAATATGTAGAGGCCTTCTGCTAGTTGCTTAAAGTTTTTCTGTTGTTTGTCTCTTTTATGGATTAAAATGCCAGAACAGTAGCAATAAAATTCAGCTTGGTACTGGTATTTTAGTGGGACTTATATTCATCTATTAATATTTACATCAGTAAATATTGTTCTTTAATGCATAGATACTGTAGCCAGTAATTTCAAACAGACCCTGACTCAGCTGTGATAATAAACTTTAGATAATAAACAATAAGATTGTCCTCTCAAAATTCCATGTCACTCTTGTATGATATTCCTTTCCATCTTCATTTATAAAGAGGCCATTTAGTAGTATGTTATTTAGCGTCCTGGTATACTGGTAAAAATCCAAAACAAAACAGAAATGCTGTTGATCTAATGTTAATGTTAAACTTTCTAAGACAGAATCACGTCTTATATCACACTTTAGAATTTGGTAGTTGTGAAGTATATGCCCTTTGAATCATTCCTAAATTAACCAAGTTTAATCCACCATGTTAACCATGCTTGAGGAATGTTCCAGATGCTATCTGAGGGTTAACTCATCCCGTACTCTGTCATGTTCCTTCGCGTGTCTTTTAAAGGTTAGCAAGTTTTGGTATTGTTGTGTACTTCTTTTATAGGTTGCTCATGAAAACTTGAGTTTTTTCAGTCTTAATATACTAAAACTAACCAAGCTAAAGCAGGAATCAAGCAAGGAAGAAATGATAAGTTTACATTGCTTCAGAGGGTCTCTAAGACAGAAGAAGCAAAGGAAATCTCTGCCATCACCTACTCGTGATCCGGGCAGTGAATCTCAGGGCTCCAGAAATTACCCTAGTTCTCTTCCGTTCTCCTAAGGCCTTTTAAAATTAAACCTTGAATTTGAAAGAAGGACAATCACATGGCTGTTTCCTGTGCTCCGGGAATCTCCACTGGGAAATCATTATTTGCCTCCACGTAGAGAAAACAAATGGAAAGTTCCATGAAAACACAATGAGTAGTTATGTGTATTAAACAATACAAATGTTTTGATATCTGAAATAACTGTCAGGTTTAATATACATTTTTGCTTTACTCCAGTAAATCAGGAGGAAATTCATCATCCAGTCTGGGTGACATAGTACCTAGTTCCAGAAAATCGACACCTCCATCATCTGGTAAGTAGGTGGAAGCGCCGAACGGTACACACTACAGCTCACTTTTTCCTCGGTCTTCCCGAGCTGTATGAACTTGAACATACACACACCGAGTTCCTGGGTTAACCCTAGAAGTGTGGAAAAGGGGTCAGAAATAAGTATGCACGTATGCAGTTAGAATCGGTCTGGGGGATTTCTTTCTGGCTTTGGAAAACAAAGAAACCTGTCGGTGTGTTCACTGTAGGTTCCTTGGATGATCCAAGTGACGAATGTATTTAACCTTTTCTCCCTCGCCTCCATCCACCGTGGGGACCAGCGCGTCATCATGGGCAGTAAATGGGTCGAATGCTCATCGATAGCCACAGTGTGATGTGAGGTGTTGGCCTCGATGTTACGTAAAAGGAATTAAAGCTTTTAGAAAGGTTAGGAAAGGAAAGGAAAGTGATGGCGTCGTGAGCCTGACATGAGCTAACACTCGAAAGCCAGCCTCTGTGGAAGACGCATAGAAGTGTTGGAAAAAAGGGGAACACACTGTGGGAAGAGCAAGTGCTGTTTTATGCTGTTTTATTTCCACAGTGGTGGGTCCGTGCTTCCTGTGGCCAGTTAAAGTCGAATTTCAGATAAACAACAAATAATTTTTTAGTATAGGTGAATATCGTATGAACCATACTTATACTAAAAAAATCATTTATTGGTTATCTGAAATTCAAACTGAATTGAAATTTTTTTGGCTGAATGTGGCAGCTCTGCCATTCTGGGTGCAACTTGGGGTTCCGATTACAGAAATAGGAGAGTAATTGGTCAAATTGTGTGGAAGCCCATGCTCAGAGTCTTGGTTTGCTAAGAGATGCACTTGGCAGTCAGAGTAAGATTATAAGGATCGGCCAGAAGAGCATTTGAGAACAACGATGCCACATCAGACTCCCAGGAAGCTGGAAGTGGGGAGAGGTCAAATGCAGAGACTCGTGAGTCTACGAAGTTAGGGAAGTAGCTGCACTGTGACTGCTGTGCCTTGGGAACAGGATCCCCTATTACTCATCAGCACGCCTTGTTCCCAGATGTTGGTGGCTTTTCAACGCCCCTCAAGGGCTTCTTAGTAAAAACTATAGGACTTTTTAAGTGAGCAAGATGTGAATACAATAAAAAAAGTAAGTCATTGTAGCATGCATATAATTTTTAAAAACACGTACTTACACCTTACAGTAATTCTGAGTTGCTCAAAATTAAGTAAAATCGTGAGTTTGAAAGGAAGACTGAAACTTTTGTAGGTATTATGTGAGGCTTACGTCTTCCCTTGACCAGCAGGGAGTAGATATTTTCTGCAGGTGCAGAAAGAGGCTTATCCCAGCTTCTCCTCAAAGGTGTGAGGTTGTAGGGATTACCATATCAACCTTATACTCTTACTGTATATCTTAAAAACTGGAGACTCTCGAGGACTGACGCCAGGCTCTTGAAATGAGAAAACGCTACGTCACATCGTAATAAAGCTGCAGCCCCTCCCGCAGATGTCAGTCCCCCTTCCGCAGACCAGTAAGATTCTCCCACACCCTCTAACCACACTGTAGCCTTCTCATTGTTTTGTCACTGTAATCAGAGCAGGAACGTGCATTTTGAAGAATAAATTAGTGTATTTGTAAAGGCACATTTCATTTTTGTAGTCAGATGTTTCATCGTTACTGAAAATAAAGCTAAAAGTTTAATAAAATAAAGGTGATTTAAAACTTCACCCAAGTTTTATGCAAATACAGAGCTTTGGAATAACTTTTCTGAACACCAAGAGCATAATATATCTGTCTGAGTAGATTGGAGATACCAACCAACTACAAAATTGATCGTGGGCGTGTCATAATCCTGGTATAATTTTTGTCCCAATAGCACAGGAAATTCTGCAGAGAGGGTCCCCCAACCACCTCCAGGGAAAACTGCCTAAGCTACTACATGTGGATAGGCCTGCAGTTGTAATTTTCCTCTCTGTTTTCCAGAGGCCTTGTCTACAGTTCACCTCACCCATTGCTAGACCAAAGAGTGTAAGCATTTGCCTAAAGCAGACATATTTGGAGGTCCCCAAGGATCTGGGTGATGGGGTAGTGGCTATAGCATAGTATGCGCTCCACACCTGCACGTCTGTGTACAAGTTACTCTCGCCCTGTGCCACTCAACTTGACTTTAGAGTCTAAGGTTAAAATTTAAATTTCAAAACGTGTTTCCAAGGCTCTTTACAAAAAAACAAAAAGCAAAAAAAAAACTAGTGAGAAAAAATTTTAAAAACTAATTTCAAATTTACAGAAGCAGTTTTTCCCAAGTAAATACCAAATTTGCCAAGGGATGCAAATACAAGTATGAGATTAAAAAGGGACGGCGTCTCAGTGTAAGAACTATTGAGTTGAATAAAGTATGCAAAACTATGAAAAGAGTTGAGCATGCTTATTAACTTAGTAATTTCTTTAATGTGTTTTGAAAGTGGCCAAACGTTTCAGAATTCTCTGAGTCTCAGAACGAACACAGAGGCTTTTAGATTTAAGTTAACAAAAAGTCAGAACTAGTGAATTAGAATGTTTTCAAGTTGGGGTTTCGAGCCCTTGTGACCGAATACAGTCAAATTTCAAACCTGACTCACAGGTTGTGTGGGTGGGTGGCTAAATCGCTGGGCAGTGTCACAGCTAAACTTCCTCTGCATTTCCATGCTTCCTCTGAGAAATAAAAAAATCCATCTGCTGATCACAGCAGGTCAGAATCAGCGGACAAATCATCAAGTCCAGTTCATGAACTTTGGCATCGCAGGGTCCTGTCGACTCTGACGGGCCTCAATTTCAGGAGGGCTCTTGGGGCACTGTCCTTGGAGGGTGGCGTTTCTGAGCCCAGTGAGAATGGTAGAAGCATACAGGAATTTACCACCAGGAGGGAAACTTATCAGGTGTTGGATAAGATATAATATAGGAATAATGAAAAAGTGACCCAGAGACACTCTGTCATATCCAGGAAGACATACATGACATACTAAGATGGGATTTGAGGGAAAACATTACAGGGTGCTATAAAAGTTAGCCTCGATTCAAACCCCTGGGCAAAGTTTGTAATGTTTCCGTTGCATACTATGTGCAGAATCTTTTAGTTCATCAGTATGTATCGATGGGGCAAAGAGAAAGACATATTTATTTGCTACATCTAACTAAATTCCTGGAATTAACTCAGTCCGTTATTACTTTCACTGGAGAATCAATCGTACCTCATCTTTATGCCAGCAATAGCTGATATTTGCAATGTTGCGCAAACAATGCCAGGTTTTCCATGTCATCACAGGTTTTTGGCCTAGTACAATGAAAAGGAACATTTCAACAAGAGATCCTAGTTTTCAAAAGGCTGAGTCATCTAATATCCGTAATAACTTCAGAACTGAAAAATAATGGGATGCCTATCAGATGTTCTCCCGTCATTTGAAAAGGTTAGCAGCAGCTGTCGTGAGCACCGATTCAGCTGGCGTATCACAGGGAATGGTAGTGGCTTGGCAGCACCGAGCCGTCTGTGATTTCAGAGGGGTGATTTATTTGTCCCTTAAATCTGAATGTGCTGCGGTCATCGTTAGAGAGCTAACCAGTGCAATGTGATGCTTTCCTGGGGTGAGCAGGTTTCCTTCTTGTACTTGACCTCATCTGAACCATAGAATAATTTTCTCTTGAGCTCAACTGCATGATATCTTCCCGAATTCTGACACTGAGGACACAGCCCCACTTGGGGAGCAAAGGGAAGTGGAAGAGTGAGCCAGGATGGAGAAGAGACTGCCCTTGAAATGGCAGCATGGCGTAGGGACTGGGAGGGCCTCCCAGAGGCAGCGGAACCAAGTTCTGAGTCCTCGCTCTGCTGAGTCTTTTCAAGAGTTCATCTCTTAAGTCTTAAAAATAAGAGAGTTGAAGATGATCTCTGAGGTACTTTCCAGCTTTGAGTCTACAGTCGATAAAATTCTCTAGTAATTGCATGTGGAAGCATTTTATAAACTTCGAAATGAGACGATGGATCTGTTTTTATTTATTTCACCTAACGCTTAATTTTTAAGTGCTATATCTTCAGATAGAAAGATTTTAGAAGAGTGAAAGCATGTCGAACCACAAACCTAAACCTCTCATTCTCCGGATAAGGAGACCAGAGGCATATTCCCTTATCCGTGTGCCCTTCCACGCTGCCTTTTGTATTATGTCCAGTGGCTTTATAAAAAATCATCGATAGTCTCCTTACGTCATTTTATTAGACTCATTTCACTTGGAGATCCACGGATCCAGTGTTTCCCAATGAGCCTTCAAGCAGGGTGTAAATATCTTGAAATCATTTTCATCCTGCCCATTCTGGAACCTGCCCTGACTCATTTGCCTTGTGTATGACTTCTGTGTGTTGTCCGAATTTAGGATTTTCTGTTCTTTCTCCCTCGAGTGACTGTTGCAATTTCAGTGAAGCTTTTTCACACTGCCCTATTTTCACACAAAACCAAGCAAAATAAGAAATCTGAGGCACGTTGTGACACAGGTTGCCAGTGGGGTTCCTTATTATCTAAAGGCTGGTTTAAGATATTATAAGAAGTAAAGTGAAATATTCTGCATCATGCTTATAGATGGTCGACATGGAAAATAATCAACATCGTATTTGAAACTACAAATTTAAAATATGTTTCTCTGAAAATATTACTTGCGACCTAGTGTAAAATTGATCAAGCAAACGTATGACGAGGGGACCTTTCAGTTCTGTTCGATTTGAATACATTGCATTCTTAACACGCGTTACCTTTAAATTTTACATTGTTTGCTGTGCCGAGCGCTCATGATAGATCTTTACTAAAGTTAAGTTTATTTGCTTTCGTTTTATTTTTTTTTATATATATAACCTGTTTTTCCTCTCCTGTCTGCCTGATGATTTTTGAATTGTTTGTCTGTATATAGCTATAGACATAGATGCTACTGGCTTAGATGCAGAAGAAAATGATATTCCAGCAAACCACCGCTCCCCTAAGCCCAGTGCAAACAGTGTAACGTCACCCCACTCCAAAGAGAAAAGAATGCCCTTCTTTAAGAAGGTAACATTAGCTTCCGAGCTCCCATCTGTCCACCTGCTCAACCGCACTGCGTCACATTTCCTAGTCCTGTTGACTGTCTGCGTCCTTTGATAAGCCAATAACATGCATGCTCTGTGTTTCTTTGTTTCTCTTCCATGCTGCTGTAGCTAAGCAGAAGCAGAAATCGGTAAGTTTACGTTGACGTAAGCTGTGTTGATCCTGCCACTGGCATCATTAGCATTCAATCCCGCAGTTTGATTAAATACAAACATTTCTGTCTTAAGAAAAAAACCTGTCCAACACCTAATTGAGTTCATGCATTTCAAACCAGCTAAATTCAGTGAGTGACCTGTTAAAACACCATTACAGTACTTATCCTTTTTGATGGAATAATATCTACCACCAAGGGAATCTGTTGAAACATTTTCAGGATGTCGAACACTGACAACGCCATATAATGCACCTCTATTGTGCATGCTTATTCTGTCTGTCTTTGTCTCTTTCTTTTTTCCAGAAATTTAACTTATAATCAAGCATATTAAAACCATTATTAGATTCTGATTTATGATATCCAGATACATAGCTTGTACTAAAAAAAAAAAAAAATTCAATTTTTAATTTAGTCAGTATTTAAACTTCTAATCCACTAGGTGCAAAATCTACAGATGAACAAGACCAGTGGAAAACTGCAGGCTTGTTTTGGCGGTTTACTGTGAGTTTTTCCTATTGTCATATATAAATACTCTCCCGATGTTCTTGCCTCCTCCATCAGTCAGATTTCAGCATCTCAAACCTGTTGGACCATGGGGAGGTGGCCGTGCCTAGAGCCTTTGCCACTGGCCAGCCTAGATGCTAGCCGGTGGTGCTCTCTGTCCCCTGACTGGAAACTAGAGTATCCTGAGCTCTCTTTACTCCAGACAAAGTCTGCTTCTTTTCAACGCATTTTGTAGCTTCCAAGAGTTATTTTTAAAGGATGCCCCTTGTCGACACAATTTCCATTTCTTCTCTCCTTTTACACGCCACGTTCCACAGCCTACCACGCTGTCTTTATTATCATACTTCCTGACGTCACCAAGTCTGACACGGCCATGGGTATATCGTGACACGCAGGTGTGGAGCAAAGCTGACTCCGCCCTAAACTCTCCATGTCCTGAACTTTTTTCCTCTGCACACAAGTATTTTACTCTGTGGAGAAACTCTAAAGTCCTCAATGAGCTATCACATGCCAAACTGACCAAACTATGAAGTAGATTGTTGTTGTTTTTTAAAATTATGGTTACTTTAATAGTGGAAGACCTCAGCACTCCAGACAAAGATGAAAACACCCGAATTTTCTGTGTTAACACAGAAAGCCCCCGCTCGATGTTCACCCATGACAGTGGGCCCGTCTGGTCCTATCTTCTTGTCACGACGAAGACTTTCAGTGGGTGACTAACAGCACAGAAGCCTAGAAAATCAACATTGCTGAGCCTCTCTGGGCTTTACAGAGTAACACGAACTAAAACCATGTTAGTCGAGATAGGTTTTTTTGAAGTTTGCTTTACTCTGACATTCCAAAACTTTAAAAATGTTGATCAGTTTTTCCACTGAACGATTCGAACAAAATACGGTTAGCAGGAAAGGGCAGATACAGATGTTGGTGTCGTTATCAGTAGGGCACCAAGTTCTAATATTCCATCAAATAAGGTAATTTCTGTAGCTACCCTATCGATTAAGAAGCTGACTGATTACCAGCACGGGTGACCCTTTGCTAGCTGGCAGTCACAGATCAAAGGAACCAAAGACCTGTCAAATACTGGGCCACTTAATACTTAAAGGCTTGAAATAAAATTTCTTGGTAGCTGTTACTAAAATGCATGCAATTTGTATTCCTAATTACGACGGTGGGAAAGGTATTCTCATACGGCATAGTTATAAAGACTTGGCTTCTAAACATTTTCAGTGTGATCCCAGGTGGTATAACTGTAATAATTTAATAAATATGCTTATGATGCCTTCGGCACTGGTACCCATTCTTCTCATGTTATTATGTGGTCAACTTCAGTGCAGAGCGCAAAAACAATGACGACAAAAGCCTGAGATTTAACGATGAGATGGTTTTCCATGTTTTAGGTTGCTTTTAGAGTGGTGCTTGTGTGGCATTTGTGCTGTCACTGTATTATGTTTGTCTTGTTCTTTTTTCTGTTTAAATATGTCTATTCTAGCTTTACCATGTCTTTTAAAATGAATCGTGAATGCGAGGTAGAATTTTAAGCAGTAAAATTTGACAGCACAGTCACAGTAGTAGTTCCTTCCTCTCTGATTATATTTATCTACCACTGTCGGTGAAATCTCAGATGGAAGCTTTTGAATTTGAAATGGTTTTTAATTCCCCTCCCCTTCAGGAAGTCAAATTTAATCGAAGTCAGAAAGTTTGTAACGAGCAATTTTAAGCAACGATACAATGATCTGGAGCAATGGGCTGATGCAAAACTTAGATTCACATTTGCTCATCCGTTTTTCAAATTCTTAAAATACTTTAAAGAACATTTTTCTTTTGGTCTGTGTGACCAAAAGAAATTCTTAAAATCTTAAAATACAATTTTTCAGATGCTCCTTAATGCAGAAAGCTTCATATAACGGTGATTTGTTTTATCTCACCATCTAAGGCCATATTGCTCTCTCTTCTGTGTTAAAAAATATATATATATATCATTTTGGGGGTCAATTTTACATTTTCTGCTATCAAATTTGAATATGATCAGACAAATTAGCTGTTACCTAATTTTTGGAAAAACTTTATTTTGGTCATTTTATTTGAAGTAGTTAAGCTGAAAAGTTTCAAAAGTTTTAGAAATTGCTACCAAATTTAGCTCCTCCCCCTGCCCTTCCAAAAGAGATTATCGTGAAAAGGCATGAATTAGTTATGCAGCAGAAACACTGCCTAAATCGCTCTTGAGTGGCGTGTTAGAGGTGCGAGTCAACGAGCAACCTTGAGGCCACTGAAGCTTATCACACCCCATCCACCTTCCCTCAAGACACATCAGCCTTGCATTTGAAGTTTTCATTTCAAGATATAAAAACCCAAAATGCAAAAGCACTAGTCACTAAGCTATGAATAGTGATCCTGATTATGTCATGATTACTGTTCACTGGAACAACTATGCATGCCAGCTTAAACTCACTGTAAAACAGGAATTTTCAAGTATTTGGTCATGAGAGTTACAATGTTTTGAAATTAGGTGTTATCCAGGTAAGACAAACATCTAAAACGCAAAGGTAAACAGACCTTTCTTTTCTCCATAACTAACCAAGTTAGGTCTGAAAGTCTGGCTCGTCAGAACACACATGCATCTGAAAAGCAATATTAACTTCCAGTCAAGCCTGAAGCACTGATTCTGCATGAGGCATGTTTCTGTCTGTTCTACCAACTAGTTTTTGTTCAAAAGCAGCTCTTCTTGCTTTAGAAACTAATCCATTAGCAACGTTTCTTGAAGAAAGCAAGAAAACTATAGACAATTCAGTGCCTTGAGACTTTAAGAAAATAAACCCATCAGTCTTTGATTGGGTTTATTTAGAAAAGAGGCAATTTAAAAACTAAAATGTCTAGAAAGGCCTCATATTAGAGTGTTCAGAAAGACAGCAGTTTATATGTAACATATTTATATTTCCTCTGCCCATTAATCGTCTGAAGTCCTCTCTTCTCTCTGCAGACAGAGCACACGCCTCCTTATGACGTTGTACCTTCCATGCGACCAGTGGTCTTGGTGGGCCCTTCTCTGAAGGGATACGAGGTAAGGAACTGCCCTCAGGAGCACACTTGACCTTCACATGCTGAGCGGCCGTGTGACTCTACCTGCCTTTCCTGACTGTTGAATTTAGAACTTAAAGAGCTTGTCGCAGGAAAACATGTTGATTTTCAAGCTGTGGTATACACTGCTTCTTGTTTGGTTCTGTTTTCTTTTTCTTGGCTGCTGTTCTAGAGATTTCTGCTAGCTGCAGTTTACTCAGCCCTGGGAAATAGTATCAGACAGAGAGTGACTGAAACCATTCGAGATGTAATGTGTGGTCCCCAAAACATTGGGACAAGTTCAGGGAACTTCTGACTTTTTAATTGTCCTTGTATTATAACTCAGAAAAATGCAGTGACCTCGTGTGCTACTTTTTCCAAATGAGAAGCCCAGGTTTTTAAACACTCTTAAAAGGAGTAAAATTGTCGTAACGTACTTAATAGTATTTTTATCACACCTTAACTTATTGCTTGCTCAATTGCAGGTCACAGATATGATGCAAAAGGCGTTGTTTGATTTTTTAAAACACAGATTTGAAGGGCGGTGAGTATTTCAGAATCTTATGTCTTGTGGATTTTGTCTCAAAGATGATAAAACCTGGCTGGGAAAGATATGACCCCAAGAGAAAACTACCCTCCAAAGTCTAGGGTGACAGGAAATAAGTTCCATCCAATTCAGTCTGCTCCCATAAATACTCATCATTTTGGTTTGGCACATCCTCAAACCTAGATAATCCAGCTCTTTATTCCTGGCCCTGCATCCATCATAGGCCGAACTTGGCCAAATCCCAGCTGACTAGTCTCACTCTAGATTCAAGGTCAACTGACCCTCGGTGCTGCCCAGAAATACATCTCTTCCATTCACTTTTCTACTCTTTTAAAAGACTTCCGTTCCAGCTGCTCTCTCCTCTGACTTGCCCTGCTCATGCTGCTCTCCCCTATGGGCTCGCTTTCTATTCCACTGAGAAAACAGGCAAAGGACTTCGAGAGTCCCCCCACCACCCCCGTGCCCACTGGCACGTTTGCCTGAACGGGCCGCTGTTCCTTCTGTTACTGTTGGCTACAGCTAACCCACCCACTGAGGCGCTAGACGCCATTCCCCTCCCCACCCCAACATGGCCATGAAAACCCTTTTCTCTCCTCATTGGTATTTCTTGTTCTAACGGAAACACCATCAGCCTATAAACACGTAGTTATTTCTCCCTTCGATGGAAAAATCAACCTTATATTCCCCTCTGCCTGTCCCATTTTTCTCCTTTTCCTTATAGCAAAACTCCTTGAACAAGTTGTGCATCCATGCCCTCGTCTCATACTCTTGAGTCTGGTCCAGTTAACGCATCCATCACTCAGCCCAGACTAGTCGTGTCGGATCACCGGGGGGCCCTCACGTCGCCAAATGCAGGGTGAATCAGCAGTCCTTTAACTGGCATAATGGACCATTCCATCCTCTTTTAAATACTATGTTTGGCTTCTGGAACCACACTTTCCTGGTTTTCCTATTGTCTCAATAGCTACCTGTAGGTTCTTCCTCATTAACTAGACACCTTGGAAAACCCAGGCCTAAGTCTCTTGGTCTTCTCTCTCTTCTACCTATACCCCTTGGATGACTTTTCCAATGTCAAAGTTTTAAATAGCCTCTTCTTCTCTGGTTTCACCTCTTAATTCCAGACCCAGATATCCAACCGCCTATTCAGCATCAGCGCTGAGATGTCTAATGGACCTCTCGAGCTGAACCTCCCAGCTTACGCCCCAAACCTGCTTCTCTCATAGTCTCCCATATCTCAATTAATAGTTTCTTCATCTTTTAGTCCCAAGACCCTTTGGCCCCAGATCACTGAATCATTGAATCATCCTTGACTGTTCTTTTTCTCTTACATCCTATATCCAAGTACTGTTGTCTGTATCTTCAAAATATACCCAAAATCTAATGACTTTTTATATATCCCTTTGCTTTTGGTCTGAGACATTATCATCTCTTCCCTGGATTATCGCAATAAAGAGTCTCCTCACTTGTATCCTTGCTTCTGTCATTGCTCCCTTCAAGTCTGTTCTCAAGTCAGCAGCCTGAACAACCCTGTTAAACCGGCTGGATCTCATCAGTCCTTTGTGCAGATGCCATGACGTCTCTCTTCACTCAGTAAAAAGACAGTCCTTACAGTGGCCTGTAGGACCCCCTACAGTCAGACCATCCACACCCCCACACCCTTCCTTACCTTTGACTTTATCTCTTACTACTGTCCCCCTTGCTCCTTCTGCTCCTGCCACTCTGACTTACTTGTTATTCCATGAGTGTTCCAGACAGACAGATGCATGGCAACCTCAGGGCCTTTGCACTCGCTGTTCCCCGTACTAGGAATACTTTTCTCTTACTATACGTGTGTACACGCTCACGCCCTCAGTCCCTCCCTTCTCTGACTTGTCCCCCATAACTCTTTTTTGCATTTTATTTGCTTTGTTGTCACTCTCCCACACTCAACACAGACTCATGAGGCAGGGCTCTCTAATCTGCTTTTTGAACTGTTCTCAATGCCTAGAACTTGCTCCGTGTGGACAAAGAATGGATGAATGTCGAATGACTGTCTGCTGTGCACTCTCCACTAGACACCTGCGGAGAGCCGAAGCATCTGCCTCTAAGGAGCTTGTGTGTAAACCGTAAATTGAAACCTCAAGCAGCAAAACGCAAAGTAAATGAAAGAGTAGCTCAGTGGATGTGCATCCAAGGCTCAGGTAGCAGAGAGAGAGAACGGATTAACACTGACTTCGGGGTGTCAGTCTCCAGGAAGGGTTTTTAAATGGTACCCATGATTTTTCACCAAGGGAATTAGGAGGAGAGGGGGCATGAACAAGAGGATGCTAAGTGTGTGACAGCATCAAGATGTGACACAGCCGCACGTGGAAGGCAAGCCACCTACAGGTCTTCAAATCCAGTCTAGGCAGAGAGCGACATAACAAAACCAAGGCCATGTCTAGTGTGTCACATTAAACACGTTGGACTTGAGCCCCTTCCTCTCCTGCCCGCTCCCCTCGATTCACTTCTACACATAGTTATGGAATATATTCTGTGTGCCAGGCATTGAGGAGCAAAAGCCGACAAGGGCCTTGTCTTCACGGGGCTTTTGCTTATAATCTATTGAAAGGCAGCCTTGAATCAAATAACCAGCGGGTGCCATAGTGAAGGCTCGGCCAACTTCTGAAGCATCAAAGATGTGATAGGCATCTAAAATGGAAACTTCGAAATTTAACCCAAGAGTGGATTATAGGGGGCGTGGGAATATTTCTGTATGTTTAAGAAGACACACGTGGCGCCTCCCACCTCCACATTCCTTTCCTTCCCCCATCCTGACAGTCCAAGTAGGACAGGTGGTACCTGTAGGTTTCAGGTCCTTTCAGATTTCTTACTGTATCACTTTCTCCCTCGACCACACCTGCTCTGCAGCCGTTTCTGGTTTACATTGATTGACCTTTGGCAGGAGAGGTGAGGACAAGGAGGGGAAATTTTGTAGGAGAAGTGTCGTTAGTTAGTAATCGAGCAAAGGACTGAATGAGACAGAAAAAGGAAAACAATTCAAGGTATAAAAAGACTTTATACTCAGAGTCTACCTAACCAAATGTTCCTGATTAGATGTCTTTACTTTTCATAGCTTTATGAAATAGATTTTATTTTGTGCCAGGAAACACAGCTTGGTCCTTGGGCCTTTGGCTTGGTCCAAGGCTGTCAGGCTCTGGCCAAGTATAAAAGGCGTGCCCATGTAGCTTTCACTTCTTTATTCTTGGCCCTGTCATTTATCATAATTCGGAGTTGTCTACACGAGCGTGCATACCCAGAAAATTCTGCTGGCCGAGGCATCATGCTTTTCGTGACTGAGTTAATCCACTGCCCTTTCTTAAATGCCAAAGATGGGGAAATGAGATGGAATTTCCTGACTTAGCACTTCCATTTTAGCCTGAGTAAGTTTGAATTTGGAAGATAGATTCCAGCCACAGGGTGTATGTTGGCCCTGCGTTCTAAAGTATCGGCCATCCAGACTGATTTCATTTAAGAAACATGTAAACAAAAGCTCTGAATGTTATATCAACCTTTTGTTTCTGGCCAAAAGTAATTTCCATATGGCTTTATTAATAGACCTGCCTTGGCTCGTCTTGACTCCACAGCTGGGGTTCAACATTCTAGGCCCGTGATCACCAATTTAGGGTCCTCAAAGGAAGTAATAGGGTCCATAAGGCAGAAAGAATTTCAAAACGGCATGCAAAAATTTAACTTTTTTTTTTTTAATGTATGGCAAGACATCCAGAGTAACTGAATCATTAAATATCTTTGTTTTGGGCAAAGCTAAGCCAGCAGTAGAGGGGGGAAATTCATCGGAAGTATCAGGCATATCTGATTTTAAATAGACATCTAATTCTGAAAGGGAAAAGTGAATTACTTCTTAATTATCTATTAAATAAACTGAATTTGTTTTTTCAAACAACTGAAGCCCACGAGGGAGAAAATATGAAAGGATGTGTTGGTGATGAAAAGATCCTCTATAGGAATTCTTTTCTGTCCTTAAGCCTAGGCGAGTTCATTTGCTGAAGCCCCAGGGAGTTGTCAGAATTGTGATCTTAGCTGTTAAAATAGCATTTAAGTGTGTCAGGTGGAAGAAGAGATGATAAATCATCATCCTTTCTGTTGTGTGTAGTAGAGTAATTGGGTCCCATTTAAATCAGATCTACCCTAACCAACTGTGTCATGTAAACAGAGCAATGTTTAGATTCACCTTGTAGGACAATGACAGGTAAATTAATAGGAAATTGAAAACAAGAAGGAAAGCCACCGTTAGTGATGAATTTAGTTGTCCTACCCAGTGTCTTGAAAATGTCAGCTCTTGGCACTGAAGTGTTGAGAATTCATACTGGATCGCTACAGGGGTATGTACGTGGTGAATCTTGTGTGAGGGGATCTCATTGGAAATCAATAATCTCAGGAAACATTACATCATCTTATTTTGTGGGAAATTTACTTAGATGTGAGACAGGTTCTTCTAAACTGGTGGTTTTCTACCTTGGTTACGTAAAATGAAACAAAAAACGAAAAACAAGAGCTCGTGTCCCACCCATGACTAATTGGAACCAAATCTCTAGGGTGGGACGTAATGTAACGTGAAAAGCTCAAATGGCGATTTCGATGTATTGTGGGGTTGAGACCACTCCTTTATTCTGAATTGTCCCTAGAATTTTGCCTGTAGGATTTCCGAGTTCTGTTTTTTTGGCAGGACCTCAAGAAATGACAATTCCCAAAGCATAACTTAGTGAGCTAAAGTAGGATAGTGGCCCATCCACACACACACAGTCAAAGCTCATACCACGTAAGCAGGTCTGTGGAAGCCCAGCTGGACAGGACCACGTGCAGAAAGGACAAGGCATGCAGGACAAAGGGGAAGGTGTATTGTTACAGAAAACCCTGCCTTCTGCTGCATCGGTTCCCCCAGGCTGACTGGGAGCCGCTCCTGAGCAGGTGTTATCTGTCTTGTCACCACTTTATCCCCAGGATGGTCCCGGCACAGGGAAGCCTGCCTCCCACTGAGTGTCCAGGGCTCGTTAGAGGCACAGACCCAGATTCCGGTCAGCAGCAGTGATTGGGTGCCACTCCGCTGTACTGGTGTAATGCCCCGCACTTCAGGGATTCACTCTTCCTTCTCCAAGAACACCCACCCATGCGTCTCCTTCTCTCGCTTCCGGCCTCTGACCAAAGGTCACCTTTTCTGCAAGGTCTTCCCTGACCACCAAAAACATATGTTCCACAACAGTCCATGTGTATCTTTATTATCCTCCATTATTTTTTAATGGCATTTATTGCCGCCTGACATCAGATGTCTGTTTGTCAGCTTCCTCCACTCTCTCTCCACCTCATAAGAATTTAAGATCCATAGCAGCACCCTGAACGATGATTGGCACATAGTAGGCATTCAAGAAATCTCTGTTGACTCATGACTCCCTTCATGCGTGCAGGTGCTCAGCAGAAAGGGGATAATGTTACACAGAATTACCATGTAATAAACCCTACTCTGCTACAGCCACCCCCGAGTCAGTAAAAAGCATTTTAAAACAGTTACTACACATCGGATTGTCCCCACCTATAGCCTTATTTCACTTGTGAGTGCATCGTGAAATAATCATGAAACTAATTTTGAATTGATGGCTTTAGTGTCTCTCTTCTGGTTATTGCTTTTTTACTTGTTAAATAAACGTTCCATCAAAATACAAAAAGCTTAACAATCAAATAAACTTTTTTTAATAGCAGTCTCGTTCAGCAATAAAACTGAATAAGCTACGGATACACACAACAATGCAGATGAATCTCAAATCCATTATGCAAAGTAAAATAAGTTCAGAAGACTGCCATGTTATTGGAAAAGGGACAGACAACAGCTAGGTGATTGTCAGGGTGAGGTAGCGGGTAGGATGGATTACAGAGCGGGCAGCACAAGGAACTTTGGAGGGTAATGGGATTGTGCTGCGTCATGAATGTGACGGCGAATACGAAACTCTGAACTGGTCCAAACTCATGGAACTGTGCACCATGAAGGATGGAGTGTATGGTATATAGATAAACAATTTTTTTTTTTTTGCAAAAGCCAGTAATCTCTTTCCACACTTTACCTCCAGATGGCAGGTAAAGATCTAGTTAACTGTTTTCACTAGATCTTTTGGTATTTACTCCTTACCTCTAAGCAAGGTGCTTAATTTGCTACTTGAGTTTTAGGTGTTAGGCGTTATCTGTTGACTTCCTACCATGAAGAATATGTAGCTCTCTCATGCATAGTCCTCTTCTCTCTCACAGACGTGCTTGCATACACACCTCGTCCTCCATCCTCCCAACAGTTAAGTCGTACTTTTGGCTGGCTCCACTTTTAGTATGTTATAGTTATGCGAATATTATTTAAATGGGCCACATCATATACTATAATTACTTTTTCATATGTATTACTTTTTCTTTGTGATTACTATGAGATAAATAATTTTACTTTTTACACTTGGTTAATTTGTTAATATATTTGGCACTAATTTAGCCCCAAATTGCCCTCGAGTTTTCTAAATTTCCCTCAATAGATTTGAATGCACCTGATAATCTCTCAACTTTGTCCTTTTGAACCTCTGTCCAGGAGTGATCTGGCCTGCTCCCATCTGGACTGTTTCTCTCTGGGCTGGGTGCACATTTGCCATTCTGGGACATCCCTCTGCATCATCACTGGGAAGTGGTCACCTTCCTTGTGGGCCTGAGCCCCTTCTTTCTAGATCCCTTTCAAGGTTTATGCTGTCATTTCAGTCAATGACACCTTCCAGTAGTTTCCCTAGAAAGGACATAAAAACTTTTTGAGACCCTGAGTCTCAAAATGTCTTTAATCAACCCTCCCATTTAATTGATAGCCGAAATGGTAATGGAATTCTGATTTTAGGATAACTTCCCTTCAGAATTGTTAAAGTTTTTTGCTCCATTATCTTCTAGCTTCTGTCATTGCTGCTGAGAAGACAAAACATTTTAATAGCTGGTCCCTTGTACGAGACCTGCCTTTTCCTCTGGAAGCTTTTAGATTTTGCGTTGTCCCTAGTGTCATAAAACTTATAAGAATATGTTTTGATGTGGAACTTTGAACCTTTGTCCAGGATGCTTTCGATTTGAAAAATCAGACTTAATTCTAAAATTATCTTTTTAGTTTCCTGTCTTGTTATCTTTAGTCCTTTTTTCTGGACTGCTTGTTATTTGGAAGTTGATCCTCTGGGTAATTCTCCAATTTTCATGCCTTTCTTCTCCGATTTTTCAGCTCTTTGTCATTTCTGTTTTATTCTCTAGAAGATGTCCTTAACTTTATCTGCTAGCCCTTCTTTTGAGTTTTCGTTTCTACTGTTATATAATTTCCCAAAACTCTTTTTTATTCTGAGTTTTTAAATAGAAATTTTAGTTATATAGACATACTCACCTCTTAGCTTTCACCTTTGAATGTTATTGATAACGATTTTTCCATTTGCTTTGGTCTCTCATGTGAGCAGTTTTCCTGAGATGCCCAGTGAATACTGCTGTGCTCAAATTTAAGAATGGAGCATGAAATAATCAATTAGAAATTCTGTGCTCATAGGTAGAGCCGGTCAGCTTCAAATTTCCCTGTACAACACCCTCACTGGACAATCTATATGGAAAACCACCAACATCATCATCTTTGGGTCTTTTCTCTTTGGCCATCAGATTCCCCAGAAAAGAATCTTCCACTCAGAATCCTTTCTTTTCCAAATAGTGTCTTCTCCATCCCTGCTCTGCCTGGAGTCCCCTGGTCAGAAGGCCTTGGTTTTGTTGCCTGTAAAGACTAAACCGGTGTCTTACAGCATGTAGGGGAGGACGGGCACCTGGAGGCTTTAGTAGCAGAGGGGAGGTGGAGTTCTCTAACTGTGAAACTCTTTCAACCAATCTTCCTGTTTCTAGACCCTCCTTTACTTTCTTCAAAGGCATTGTGACCTTCTGTTTGCTCCACACCTTGCCTACTGCTGGCTGGAACATTCAGCTCTCTCTAGTCTAAGTAATTGCTTCTTCCAGCTTCCAAATTTTGTTTTCATTTCTGTGCTATGTAAGATGACCTCCCTAACCACCCTCTGTGTTCTCTCCACAACAGTCATCTTAATCTTTATTATTTATTACCCACTTCTGCCACTAACTCTTAACTTTCTGAGGAAAGACCATGTTTGTCTTGTTCTTTTTTATTCTCTGTGCCTATCTCAGCACCATACTTAGCGGAGGGCCTGAACCACCAAGGCTGAGAACATAGGCTCTCAGGCATATATATCAGGGTTCAAATCTCAGCTTCATCGTTTTTAGTGAATATGTAGCCTTAAATACATAATCTACCTAGGGCCCATTTTCTTCATCAGCAGAAGTGGGCTGATAATAAACCTTTCTGCTAGAGCTTTTAGGATGATTTAATGAGATAATGAGATAATGCTTAGTATGTGCCTGGCACTTGGTAAGCAACCAATAAACGCTAAGTTAGGTAGCGCAGGTTAAAAAAATATATATATGAATAAGTGCCCTGACATTTTTCGGTTTGAAAATGTGGTCACTACATATACTTCATATTTGGATGAATTTTGGGCGTGTAATTCTATCCCTTTTTTATTCAATTAATAACCTCAGGGTCTTCTGTTACTTTTCCCCCCAACAGGATATCCATCACAAGGGTCACTGCCGACATCTCACTGGCCAAACGCTCAGTGTTAAACAACCCCAGTAAGCACGCAATAATAGAAAGATCCAACACAAGGTCAAGCTTGGGTAAGTGTGGGTGCTGATGAACTTGAGCTATTTAAACACTTCTCTCCTGAGGCTGCCAAGGAGAAGATCTAACTAGATGATAATGCCACGTGTCAGAGAGCAGAGAAGAAACAGACGTGTATTGCCAGTTGCTAGTGCTACAGTCTTAGTGATTTCATGGCATGGGACGATTTGTTATGATAGTTTTGAGTTAAAAATTCCACAGGCTGTCGCATTAATGTTTCGGTTGTGGTTTGTTTTCAACAATGTGAACTTTGGTGTCTACAGATTCTAAAAATTCCTGGCTTTGCATCAATGTTACCACGAGCAAGTTTATTAGCCTCTTTAAGGCTGTTTCTTCATCTAAACAAAAGAAAGATATTAACTACCTTGTAGGATTATTGTAAGGAATAAACATAGTATGTCATACATTATGGCTATTATCCCAAATCCCTTAGTAGTTGACTTATGTCAATAACTATATCACATTCAGCATAGAGTGGTGTGTGTGCATGTCTTGAGCTTGATAAATGATAAAGTCAATTCCTGACCATTTTCCACTAATCGAATCAATATTTTTTGTGTTGTTTATAAAAACAATGTAGAGATATTAGTTGACGTGCTTACAGAGTTGTGCTTGGTGCTCTTTATTCACATGTCCTGATTTGGTCAAATTAGGCCTTAGACAGCTGTTTCATCTCTGGCACATGCTTGGAATTTAAGGTTATTCACCGTTATGCATATCTTACTGGGCTGTCAGGTTTGCTTTGATAAAATAAGTTTTCTCAGGCTTATGTGAAATCCTTGATTTTAATTTTTTCTATGTAAATGTTAAATATATAAATTCTTTGAGAACCTGGCTTTTAACAGATTTTAGTTTACTTTGAAGTATATTATATATAATACAGAAACTTAAAAATAGTATATGTTATAAGTCATGAGTATAATACTTGAAATAACTCAGTTGATCACTTAACAATCCCTCATTGACTAAATTTCAGTAATACAGCTTTAGAAGTGTACTAGGCAGAGGGAATGTGAGCACTCATTTTTATAGTGATTTCTTTTCACACCCTTATCATCTGTGACTCTGAAAACTTTTCCTGTACATTTTGCTCATTTTATTGATTCAACTTATTAACAAACTCGAGTAATTTGGTAAACTCATTAGTTCGATCAATGGCATAACAGATTTGTTTAGCTTGCCAAGGCTCTTTGAACTACCAACTATGTATTATTCTTATTTTTTTTTAATTTTTTATTTTATTTTTTTATGGTGACATTGGTTAATGAAATCTGATGTTTCAACTGTACACTTTAACAGTAAGGTGTATGTGTGTACATATATATATATATATGTATATGTGTGTGTGTGTGTATATATATATTTACACTGTGTGTTCTCCTCCCATAGATTTCTGGCACCTCATATTTGACTCCCTTTACCCCATCTACCTCCCCCTCCCCCTCTCTATATATTTTTAAATGACTCATCCACTCCATATACTTTATTGAGTGTGCACTAGACACTGAATGTCACGCTATAGCCCGGGAATAAAATGATTCAGATGAAGCCCCTGACCCCAGGGAGCTTGGTGTAGCAATAAGACAAATTAACAGCCCGTTGAAATCAAGTGTGATGAGAAGTGGTCGTGAGTTGAACTGGCTGCCGCAGGGGGTGCAGGCCGCCTGAAAAGGCTTTTCCAAGGAGCTGAGCCCAAGCTGGGACTTTTGAAGTGTGATAGCGTTTAGCCAAGAAAAAAGGGAAAGGGCCGAAGAGGGTGACAGGGCCTTAAAACGATGATTCTGGAAAACATAGATCCTTTACTTTGGTTGAGCGTATGATTTTTAAAAGAGAGGTAGGAGATACCAGAGATTGGCAGGGGAAGAAATTAAGGAATTTAGAGCTTACCGTAAGGCATTACAGAACCATGTATAGATTTTAGGTATTTATTCATCTGTTTAACAGATACTTGTGTACCAACTATGTGCTGGAGACACAGAAGTGAAGGACACCAAGTCCTCACTCTCACAGGGCTCTTGTTTCAAGGGGCAGACATGCATAAAAGCTAACAGATACAGATGGAGGCAAATACGGGGTCGGTGGTTGACGAGTCCCAGAAGAAGCAGGACAAGGGGTAGAGAGGAAGCTGAGGAGGAAGGTGTGATTTCATACACATAGGTCAGGGGAGGCCTCTCTGAGGAAGTGATATTTTAGCAGAATGACACGTTGTGAATTCTTCAGCCTTGCAGCTACCCGAGAAGAGAGTATTCGGGGCAGAGGGAAATGTAAGTGCATCTGAAGTAGTGTTGCAGAAAAATCAAACTGGCAAGAAACCAAGCACCACTCGGAGAGTTGGAGAACTCAGGTTTATTACACCGGCGGTTCCAGAAGAGCTAGCGCTCTGAAGATCTGGGCCCTGAGCTCAGGGGCAACCTTACATTTTTAGGGCAGTTACAGTTGGCATGGGCTGATTGGTTAATCTTTCCTCAGGCGATTGCAGAGCGTGGGAGTTGCTATGGGCTACGGGCAGTTATAGACCATGAGATTCTCAGACAGGAATTTAGGCAATCCATGTTATCTAGACAGAACAAGCAAAGGGGAGGATGAGTCTTCAGTTGATTTCGAGGTCACCCTGCCCTTCGGCCTATGCAGCAAGCATGTCTACAGAAGCAGAACAAAGAGCTGACTACAAGTTTAGCCATTTGAGTGGAAAATTCCTCTTTGGTAGGAACACGTCTGATATGTTCGTCATGATGTGCTTTGTAGGCCTTTTCATGTGGATGTGATAGGAAGCTGTAGGACAGCAGAGCAGTGACATTTTAGAAGCATCTCTGGCAGCATGTGAAGATGATAATGGAGCACAGCAAGAGGGAAGTGAGGAAGTTAGGATTCTGTTGAAGCAGCTTCAGAGGGAAGCAGGTGA